TTCAGCTGTGCAAATATGACACCTTACCACTGTCGTGTATCACTGTATGGTTTTAATTTTTAAATAATTACCATTCATAAAAACTTATTATACTAAATAATTATTACCCATTTGTTTGAGTTAAATTTAAAGATAATCATTAAAAAAAAATTAAAAACTAAATCAAACATTTATATTATTTACAAAATACAATTGTAACATGTTTTATAACTACCCATAAAAATATTAGGTAAAAACACAGCCTACCACCAATTAAGTAAGTTAAGTCTAAATATATACAAATAATTACAAAAAAAAAAAAAATTGTTTTGGATAGTATTTGTTCTATACAATAATTTAAAAAAAACTTTTCCAATTGTTTTTTTATAAAACATTAAGGTGACAGGTAACCTATGCAAGTAATATATATATATATAATATTATGCTACAATATGCTTTACATAGGAATAATTTCTTTTTTTTAATACAATAATATTTATACTGTTAACGTATATCCCAAATGACATTATTTTTTGTATAAAACTTATAATTTTCATACACATTACATATACAAATACAAAATAATAATACTAAAAAAAATTAAGATCGAGTTCATTCGGAGTCACCACAAGAATCACTTAGAGATAGTCCCGATAACCGTCGAAAAGTTGTTTCGTTTTGTTTTGCTTGTTCAGTGCCAGAGTCTGTACTCAATGAGGTAGTGGACATTTCTTCTAGGAAGTCAAAATTAGCAATGGCCTCACGTTCTTTATCGCCAAATCGGACGAAAAAATCACTACGGCCAACAATGGATTGTCTGAGGCCCATTGTAGGTATCTTAAGTACTCCATAACCATCTCGAACAGCTGAAGCTAAAAAAAAATTAGTTAATAAAAAAAAAATTAGTTAAAATACAAAATTACCTTTTTTTTGTCTCCGCACTCGATGTAATCTGTGGAGTCGGTTGTAAGATTCGTCATGGTTATAAGTAAAATTCATTGAAGAACAGTAATTTTCATTATTGATCATCTGATCATTATCTGAACTGCTATCGACGACTTCACTATGGTTACTAACGGAAGTGGAACTGTTATTTAAAGAAGTACTCGAATTACTACTTGAAGAACTTCGACTCGAAGTTAACATTAGGTCAAGAAGGTTTGCTCTTTCCTAAATATAAAAATTGAATAGTAAATTTATAATTTGATTATAAAAATAATATAAGTTAAATATGTATGTGCTTAATTATCAAATGTTAGTAATACTGACCATAATGTTTACTTAACTAAATATTAGACTACTATCAATCTTGGTTAAATGTAGTTAAATATCATACTAGTTAAATATAATTATCTACATTACAATTTATACATTTTTTTTATTGGTATTTATTTCTAATAATAAAGTACTGTTATAGATAAAATTAAAGAAAAACAAATAAAAGCTATCGTAAGTATTTTAATGATACAATTACACTTAAATAAATGAAAAAATTCGAAAACTTTTATTTATCAGTAAAAAATTAACAGTTGAATAAAAGAAGTCTCCATTTATGAATTAAAAAGCAGGGGTTTATTTTTCTATATTTTATTACATATAATGTTAAAAAATATATAAAATTGATTTAAGAACAAACCTGTATTTTGATATTAATATCAATACATTTTATTTGATTTTAGAGTAGTGTAGTTATATTTTTAATAAGATAATTTATACGTTATTACCTTAGAGCGTATTACAAATTGATTTTTAATGTCGATTTAGATTACATTCCAGTTAATTTAACAATGCGTAATGGTAAATGACTAATTAAAATTCTCATATTTATTATTAGCTTCGATGCGAAGCTGAGAAGGTATTAATTTTAGTATAATTTGTGTATTTTTTTATTGATTTATTTAATTTAATTTTTTTATGTCTGCTACCACTTTTTTCAGCTATTACCGAACCGATTTCTTTCAATGATACATCAAAATATTACAAATCGTATCTAGTCAAAGACATTACCTCGAAAATTGAAAATTTTCCTTCGTTTCCGTAAATGGGGGAAATCTTCTAAAACATGGCAAATTTAAAAGTTGCTAATTTTCGAAATTTTTTCAATTTTTTTTACTTAAAACTGTCATAACTTTTTGAAAAATAGATGAATACAAACAATTTTTTTTTTAGATACATTAGGTATTTACCTATCATTTGGTAAATATTTTTTTTTAATCTGAGCCTTTACCTGCCCACAAGTGAAAATTCAAAATGACAACTTTTTCACAAAAAATTAACTTTTGAAAGTGTTACGGAAATACACACTTTTATATATCTTAAATTAAAACTAATTATAATTTACTTTATTATGAGAAAAAAAAAATTTGGACTTTATTTTGTCTTCACGATAAAAATGGTCCCGTATGCTATTTTTGTGTCAAAATTTTCGATTTCATATTTAAAATTTTAACTTAATATTTCTATAACTTTTTGAAAAAGTTATGGTTTAATACAATTTTTTTATTATATATACAATTTATAAATCTCTGTCGTTTGACATACTTTTTTTTTAAATCGGGCCATTTCCCTTTATACAGGGTTGGTTCAAAACTTAAAAATGCGTATAGAGAGTACAATTTTTTCAACTTAATTTTCGAAAATGTTCCAGAAGTACTGACACTTTTATACATATATTAGATTAAAGCTTATTTTAGCTATGATTAAAAAATCTTTAACCATTTATAAATTAAAAATAAAAAAAAATAAAAAATATAAAGAATTTTTTTTTGAAAGTATTAATATTTTAGAAGACTACTCTAATTTAAAATTAAATTTAATTGGTGTTTATAAGATTTGCCCGATTAATAGCCAATAATTGTAAGATTTGTAACTCTAATATAAGCACTACAGTTGTGGTCAAAATTATAAGACACCCTCAAATTTCAACTAATTTATTTAGAAACGTAATATAGATATTTAAAAATCTAAAAATAAAGTATAACTTTATATTTTTTTTTAGAAATTTTCAATATTGGTAATTATGGAAAACCTTTTGTTTTTAATAATTAATTTAAAAAATCCATTTTAATGTGATTATTGTTTAACTTATTTATTTTATTAAATAAAAAGGGAACATAAGCTGTTCATCTAGCATTCTTTTCGTTAATAAAATGTGAAAAATATTCAAATACAAGAAAAAGAATTTATAAGTATTAAACACTAAAACCTTATCGAAGAATAACTATTCTATGCAATAGTATCCATTTGCCCGTTCCCTAGACCTCAACATAATAGAAAATGCTTGGGATCAAATTGAGAGAATGATCAAAGATAAACATGTGCGGAATCTGGACGATTAAAAAAATAAATAGCTCTTGCTTGGCAAAATTTAAATCAAATTTACTGTGGGAAACTTGCAGAATCTATGGTAAGAAGAGTTCAAGCTTCTATAAAGCTAAAGGAGGGGCAACGAAATACATACTAAATAATTAAACTTATAAACTGTTAAATAAATGAATGTTAAAATAAAAATTATGTTATTTTATTTGTATAGTTAAAAAAATGACGTTTTGTTTCCAAATATTATCAATGTTGTACATTTCTAAAAATATATAATGTTTTATTTTATTTTTTAAGTTTCTAAATATCTATATTACTTTCCTTAATAAATTAGTTGAAATAACATAAAATATGCTTTTTCGTGTGATTTTTATCTAGCATATTGAAAAAATGAATTTATTTGACAGTAAATTACCAAAAATAACTATTTTTACGGATCTCAAAAATTCTTATTCTTTGCCTGTGGTTTAAATTATTTTGACTAGATCGACTTGAACATTTTTTTCATCAAACTTTATTATCCAAATAACACGTAGAAAAAAAAATTATGCAGTTAGATGTTGGTAAAATTTTTTTAGAAAGCTTCTAAAATTATTTATTGACTGAAATTTGCAAAAATAACATTTTTAATGAAAATGTAAGTAAAATTTAAGTAACAAATGGAATCAATGCAAAATAAGCGATTTTCTTATAAGTTTATGAACACATTACATAAAGAAAAAAGTTTCATGCATTTACATGATTTATGTACAAGCCCAAAAACTAAATGCATGAAATAAGATATCTGGGGGTGTCTTATAATTTTGACCACTACTGTATAATTACTATAATAAAATCAAAGAATTTATATTGTATATCTTATATTATTTCATTAATATTGATATTATGTACTAATTTAGGTATTTTTATACAATAAATTTTGAGATATAAGCTAAAACTACAAATTTTTTTATTAATAATTTATACCTTATTTATTATTACAACTTGGTGAAAATCAATAATTTTTATTTATTCGTATTTAATTAAAAAAGTATTTTTCAGAAAATAGTAATAATTCATAATTAAAAAAAAATGTAGTGGTCAACGTCAAATCAAACGCTTTGTATATAAAAAAAATAGACAAACGTACTTTTGGATCAGCAAAGTCAATATCTCTTTCAAGATGAACCCATCCAGTAGGACAGCAGCAGGTTTCGTCTAGCTTTGTTTGTAAAGTTATCATATGCTGTTCAGCTGATATCGGAGAAATAGCCATACGATCTATTGGAGACATTGATAAACCGTTGTCTCCAACTACTGTCATTCGGTTAAGTTGTTCAATAAAGTCTTTTGAAGATGATGGCCATAAAACTGTTTCAGCTGTGCAGACACTACTAAAATCAACACAACCGCCTTCTCCAGACGATGCTTGTGGCGATGTTGACTTACCAGTAGAATCTTCATCTTCTTCGGGTACAGTACGTAGTAAATTCACCATTGAAGAAGATGATGACGTGATTGATGATGAACATCTTGTGTTCTGTGTTCGAATGGGTGAATATTCTGTGTCTTCTGGTAAACATTCAATTTCGACATCACTGCCACACAAACCGCTATCCTTCGAATTGAGCAAATTATCACTACTACTATTGCTATCACATACAGGTAGTGACTTAACAGCTGAAAACGAAGGAGTAATTGAAATTATAGTATTGTTCGTTTTTTCAACGGTTTTTTGCTGATCGTCTTTTGGGTCAGTTACAATGTCCTCTGCTTGTCGTGAAATACAATATTGTTGTTGTTCGGCTATAAAGTCTAGAACACTCTGAAGAGCAAGTTCACGTTCCTGTATAGCCATATCAGCAGGTCGTTGATATTCACAACAGCCAGTCATGCTCCGTGATGAAGTTGATGCCAAACTTTTGGAACTTTCAAATTTGACTAATCGATAAAAGTCTCTTGTAAAATCGGTACCAATAATAGAGCTTGGAGGCGGTAAAAAATCGACGCTATCACTACAGCTCACGGAAGACCGTTTTGAAGGTGGTGTCTCTGGAGTTACATATTCATCGGCACTTGACCAAGAATCCCCTGGTGAACCAGTATTACGGTTGTAGTGATTCCATGATGTGGCGTCTTTAGCTGATGAACATTTGTTTGTATCTACCCACTGATCCAAATGACAAGTGATATCTGAGGTATCATTTTCTTCAATGCAGGGCAAAGAGAGTGGTTTTATATCATTAATCGTCTTTCGCCAAGAGCTATTAATAATATTTACATTATTTAGACTACCTTCCCCTGAAGTCATAGCCGCTGCATCTTCCATGCTCCAATCTTCTAGTTCAGATGCATCATATTCCATTCGCTGCTGAATGGCTGTACGGGTCTCATCGAGTCGGAGCCAATGTTGTACATAATCCATATCCCAAAGCTCACCTCCACTATACCAAGATGTACGGTCATCATCCTCAGCTATAGTGATAGCTGTCCCTGTTTGGGCACTAGCAGATAATTTTAAAATTAAATGTGAATCAGAATAGCTTCGCATTATATGTTTTACAGGTACTGAAGGCATATGTCGAAATGGAGGGTAACTGTGTCTTGGATTAATGAAATTAAATGATAAACTAAGAGGTAAAAATATCACATCAGTATCTTCGCTATTCAACATCCTATAAAACAAACAAATAACTTAAGCTCAATTATTTTACTTATCAAATTCTGTATATTAAATAAGAAGCTGAGGAGGTATAAATTTTACTATGATGTATTTATTTATTTTTATCATTATTATTTTTTGTGTTTATCACTGTATTTTCTCAGTTCTCACTGGATCGATCATTTCAATGATACATCAAAAAATCACAAATATTATTCAGTTGAAGGCATTACTTTCAAAAATTGAAAATATTTCCCCGTAAATATGGTAAATCCCAAGTTCAATTTTTTTTTTTCAATAATTTTATATTTATATTTTAGGTCAAATGTCGAAGTCTTAAAGGAAAGCGAAAATACACTTATACATTTTACAGGGTAAATTTTAGCAGCTTTAATTATCAATTCAATAAGTATAGTAAAAGAATGGAAGCTGTCTTACTAAAAAAAAAAATTCTAGCTACCAATGGCTTATTATAAATTACAATTTCTAATTCATAACTAAAAAATGATAATTAACTGAAGAAGGTCAAAATAATTCAATTAATTAAGTTTTAATTAAATAAACTTTTTTCTTTTTTTTTTTGATAAATACATACTTAACATTTAGAGACGCGTTTGCCATAGAGGTAACGGAAATATAAAATTATTTCATTAACTTTTTTTATAACTAATTCCTTCTAAAAGTTAAATACTGTGTACAGATTTAATAAAAAAAAAAAATTTACTTAATCTAATTTATTATCATTCAGTTTATTTTGGAATACATTAGTAATTGACTATAGTTAATTTCATTCAAGTTATTAAAATATTAATTATGAAAAAATTACTTAAATAACTATTTTAAACATTTTTCTACCTAGAACAAGGCGATGACTCAGCTAAAACATTTGATTCATTTTCGTTCGTTTCTTTTACATCCTCCAAATCTTTTATGGGTGCTTCAGTATTACCTTGTACGTCACTAGACATAGTTGAATACCCTTCATCACGATTACCACTCTCAGGTGTCTCATCTCCAAGTACATGATCAAATTTTAAAGATCCATCGACTATAATTATATGTATAACTCAATATATTTGTTTATCTAAAACACAAGTTAAAAATCTATATTATAACTACCTTTATGAGGACAACATATTTCTAAATTTAGTGACTGTGGTCTTTTATAGTAAAATGTTGATTTGCTAACATCACTATTAGCGAGTCTCCTCAACCCTTTGGTAAGATCACAGCTTAATGGTCTTTCAATAGTCATTTTCTAAAAACGACAATTATATTACAATTACTGCATATTTGAAACGGAAAACAATTAACTTACAGTAGTTGGCGATCGGTGAATATCAAAAACCACAGATCGAGTTTCAGCTACAGGCATTATTGGTGAATTATAATTGATTTTTTGTCCTAAACGCTGTACTATTAAAGTTGAAAGAGCACAGTTACCAGTCTCTAATTCTTTGACTCGATGTTGCAATGTCGAGATTTCTTCTCTTAGACCCTAAATAAATAATTATTTTTATTGAACATTGTTTTTATTATTATACAGATTTTTAGTCAACATGGGTCAATTGCAAACATTTTATAACATTGAGTTATCTAATGATGGTCATCATATTAATTTTGTATTATTAACCTACTTTTTGAGACAAGACTGCTTTGACAACTTGTTTGGCTACGTCGTCTAAACACTTTTCATATTGTTTACGTTGTTGTTCACCTTCCCTTTCTATGCGACTCTTTTCGTGTTCTAATATTCGTAGTCGTTCAACCAGAGCTTTTTGTACTTGACTAATACCCTGTTTAAACAAGTAAAGAAAGGTTAAATTGTCGTCAATGCATTTCTATAAACCATATGGTGAGTAAACTTACCGTTGCTTCGAGAGTGTTAATTTGTTTTTTCAAAGTTTCGTTTTCTATTTTTAGTTTAGTGATAGTGTTTTGCAATTGCAATATTTGGTTCTAAAAAGTGAAAATTATTTTTAGACATAATCTATGATATAACCATAGAAGTATGGTTGTCTTAAGGGACGTAGCAAAAACAACGTCAATTTGTTATTTGCTAAAAAAAAAACTAGACTTGTATTTTATAACATCTATAATATATACATGTGGAAAAAGTGCAATAAAATGTGGTAGTCATAGAAGATTTATAGACCACTGCTGATGGTATTTGGATGATTCGCGAGACCCCGTGAGACTAAAATGTAGTAGGTGGTTGATTTCAAAAAAATCATTAATCTTAGAAACCCCCGTGTCCTCTTTCTGCTTTTTCTCTTTTTCTGACTATATCTATACCTCAAAACTGAATAAATAAATAAATTAAAATTAATAGATCATATTCTTATCATTCAGATCAATAATTTTCTAATGTCTATAGCACAATTATAAGAAATATTTAAAATACTTCAAGACATTTGTGTATACATAATTGTCTATGGACTTTTGAATCAAACTAAGTTATTTAAACATTTGAAAACACGTAAAAAATTATAATAAATATTTTAATGCATTATTCAACTTATAAATTAATTTGATAAATATTCAAAACATAAAATGATATAAAAATATACTTATTTATTATATACAAAAAAATAACTATAAAAATATGATTAATTAAAATTAGGTAATTAAATAAATAAAATAATTTTAGCTTCGATGCGAAGCTGAGAAGGTATTAATTTTACTAAGATGTGTTTTTTTTTTGTCTGTTACCACTTTTTCTCAGCTCTCACCGAACCGATTTCTTTCAATGATACGTCAAAAGATCACAAATCGTATCTTATCGAAGACATTACTCTCAAAAATTAAAAAAATTTCCCTCGTTCCCCGTAAATGGAGGAAACCTCCAAAAAAATTACAAATTTAAAATTCGCTAATTTTCGAAATTTCTTCAATTTTTTTTACTTAAAGCTGCCATAACTTTTTCAAAAATGAACAAATCAATATAATTTTTTTTTTATAGATTCTTGATGTCTTTATCTATCATTTGGTATATTTTTTTTATAAATTTAACCCTTTAACAGTCCACAGGGGAGGATTCAAAATGACAACTTTATCACAAAAAATTAACTTATTCAACTTAACTTTTGAAAGTGTTCCAGAAATACTGACACTTTTATATATATCTTAAATTAAAGCTAATTTAATATACTTAATTAAGAAAAAAAAAAATTTGGACTTTATTTTGTCTTCACGGTGAAAATGGCTACCGTATGCTATTTTGTGTTAAAATTCTCGATTTTATATTTTACATTTTTAACTTTAAAATGTTATAACTTTTTGAAAAATATATGGATCAATACAATTTTTTTATGAAAAATAATATTTATATACTTCTTTAATTCGACATACATTTTTTTTAAATCGGATCATTTTCCTTAATACAAGGGGGGTTCAAAACATAAAAATGCATATAGAAAGTAGAACTTTTTCAACTTGACTTTTGAAAATGTTCCGGAAAGTCTGACACTTTTATATATATCTTAAATTAAAGATAATGTAATATACTTTATTATGAAAAAAAAAAATTTGACCTCTGGACTTGTCTTCGTGGTGAAAATGGCTACCGAAAGCTATTTTCGTATGAAAATTCTGGATTTTATTTTTTACATTTTTAACTTTATAATGCTATAACTTATTGAAAATTGTATGGATGAACACAATTTTTTTATGAGAAATAATATTTTTTAATTATCCCTTTTTCATTCAGGATATTAATAAGAAAATAGCAGATCATGTAGCTTTTGGTTTTGGAATAATCCACCAATTTTTTTAAATTAAACACTATCTAAAGATTTGCATCGAAGCATTTTTTTTGATAGTGATTTTAATCACTGTCAGATATCATTTTACTTGATCCAATCGTGAATCATCAAATTTAATTAAAATATTTTATATTAATATTTATAATATATTTTTGTATTTTAATGTTGTAATATTTAATAGTAAATGACATGACATATTTTATCAAAAAATTATATCCACATTTCGATATAAACACAAATTTACGATTAAAAAAATTAAAACAATATTTTTTTGATCAAATATTAAATTTGTAATATAAAAATTAACATTATATCAACAATATATTTATCAATGTAATAATCAACAATAAATACATAGTTGCTAAATCTATAAGAGATACAAATTATTAAGTAGTAAAAAATCCATAAAATTTGTTTTATAAAACATATTATTAAATATTTGAAAATTACCTTATTACTAAGTTACTGCAACAAACCCAAAGTTTTAAAAAACCTAATATTTATTTTGAGTTTCGATTAGTTTTTAGCGAAAGTCATGTTCATAGAAAAAATAAGATAACTCGAATAATACAAATAAACTGTATTTAATGCAAATATGCTATACTTCTATTATTTTCTTACTATGATAGACCAAATTTTATACCATAAAATAGTCATGGTAATATTCAAAATTTTGCGAAATTTAAAATGCTGTAAACATTTAACTATAAAACATCAAAATAAATTGGCTGCCAATTTTTTTTTTTTCAAAAATTGCTGTTCTTAATATTTTTAAACATATTTCATAAAATTTTTAATTAATTTTTTAATAAAAAAATATTATTAATTATAATATTTTAATAGTTCTAACGAGTGTTTTTAAATGATGTTTTAAACAAAAGTAACGAAAAATATTCATTAGATCAAAAGTTATAAAATATGTAAAAATCTCATATGGCACTTTATATAGAATGTTCAGTAAGTCAATGGATTTCTATTGTTCTCATTATTTGTAATAACTGGATTGTTTCTTTATTTACTGAACACTGTCTATGTGTGAACACTCGTATATCTCATCTATGTCGTGTCATATGTACTGCGACCCCACTGTGCTGGGTTTCTTTTAGTTTGGGTACTATTAAAATCTTGTAATTATATGTAACACAATTATCATCACTTCTTGAATACTATTTATTTTTTATTAATCAACATTTCTATTTTTTTATTTGAAAATATCACTTTTTTTGACATTCTGACCGACCCCTAGTAGTTGGGATTATGGCGAGGAAGAAGAAGAAGACTTTTTTTGACATTCAATATTAATTAACTTATTTCGTAGACTATACAATAAAAAAGGTATTGAAAGAATTTCTGTAACCCGTAGAGAAAGAAATTAAATTTCTCTGTGTTACCAATTTAAACTTTTGTAGTATATTGCTTTACTGCGATAAGTGAAAAGTTAGGGGAGGATAAAGAATGCCAACCATAATTGTTGTCAACAGTGGTTACTGCCGACGACATATAAATTAAGATTCTCTTGATTGACACATAGTTAATAAAGTATTGTATTCATAAACTAAATTTCGATTTAGTATAGTAGCTATGATATGAATATAAAGAAATTAGTAATAGTGTTAAATATATTTTACATTTATTGAGTCTTAGCTAGATTTAGTTGTTTAAAATATGATGATTTACTAAACAGACAGATGTTTTAATCCGAATGTCCAGATAGCCGGAACTATAATATAAGAAATTAATTCTTGTGCAGCTGCAAATACCCGCTTTATAATTTAGTTTGCATGATATTCATGTCATAAAGTAAAAAAAAATAATAATTATTATTTGACAATCACAAAAATATTATTAGGTATTGTTCATAATTATAATAATAATTATAAAAATAATTTGAGTATTATAAATTGTAAGCCCAATTAAGAAAATATTTGTTTTATTCGTAAACAAATGGTTGTAAGTATATATTAGCATAGTATTATATGAAAATTGAAATAATTATTTTAGTTCAAATTACCCTTGCATATTATTGATACATGATCATTTGTTTGTAACTAAAAAATATATTTTATTAATATTTTAGTCATTAATTTTATGTTTATAAAAAAATCTATAGTTAATTAGATCCCACAATTGGGATTACTTCTGAAAAGTGGTATAAGTCTAGTTATATTTGGTATTTCATAATCGTGATTCTATATCACATATGAAGCCATAGTATGTAATGGTAATTGACTATGTGGTGTGAGAAATTATAGTTTCTTCAAAATTAAATGTTAGTTCCTATAATTTTCCTATTGGTATCGAACCAAATAAGAGACTTACAGCATAGTTATTGGTAAAGTTTTAGTCAAACAACACTATTGTTAAACTTTTCACGGCTATAGTTATTAATTTACTATAAAAATCTTTAAATACTATGGAGTTTGTAGAATCAACAACAATCTTAAAAACAACTAAATCAACTACTGGATTCCACAAAATATATATTTTACAAAATGTAGTTTTAAAAAAACTTAAATATAAATAGAATTTTATAATATAATAAGAATTTATTGCATTTGGCTAATATTATTTAAAATTGAAAAGATATTTAAAAACTAAAATTATTGAAAATTTTTATTTCAATAAGCCACAAATAAACTAAAAAATTGTGTATATATATATTTTAAAAATAATGTTACCACACTATCAGCCCTAAACGCGTTACTATTATTCTCGAAATACATATATACAATTGTTTAGTATTTTTTGTGGCTAATCGAGTTTAAAAATTTTCAATATTTTTTAATTTCAAATTAATATTTAAATATATTTTTTATTTTTAATAAAATTTGTTTGTTTATTTAGAATTAAATCCGCTCATAATATTAATAAATATTTTTGAGTAATATAAAGTAATTATTTTGTTTTATTAACAACAAAAATTGTTGTTCTAATATAACCAAAATAAAGTCATATTTTAAAGTAACATTGTTTAATTTGCTTTTTTTTTATTAATTTAATATTGACTTTTGAAATTATAAATTTTAAAATACTAGAATTATATTCATTATCATTTGAATATTTATCTATAAATCATTAATTTTTCTAAAAAAATGTACTTGGAATTCCCTACTTTTAATTTTACAAAATTCATATACTTTTGTCACACCTGTGAGTAATTATTAATATAATTTTATATTGAAATATTGACTTTGT